CTGTCCCACAACAGTGCACGACCTGGGTCATCAAGAGGACCTGGCAGCCAGGCCCAGGGACACTCCATAATGCTGGCCTGTGCTCTTCAAAATGTTGACATTGAAGCCAGGCACGGTGGCTCATGCCTGTAATCTCAGCAGTTTGGAGGCCGAGACGGGCAGATCACCTGAAGTCAGGAGTTCAAGACCAGGCTGGCCAACAGGGAGAAACCTCATCTCTACTAAAAATACAAAAAAAAAAAAATTAGCCAGGCATGGTGGTGAGAGCCTATAATCCCAGCTACTTGGGAGACTGAGGCAGGAGAATCGCTTGCATCCAGGAGGTGGAGGTTGCAGTGAGCTGAGATTGCGCCACGGCACTCCAGCCTGGGTGACAGAGTGAGATTGCCTCTCAAAAACAAAACAACAACAACAAAAAAACAAAAAGTCCATGTCGAGAGACATGAAGAGAGACAGAGGAACTGTTCTAGATTCCAGGAAATGAAAGACAAAGGACAACAGGATGTAACACACAGGACTGGGTTCTCTTTAGATACAGGGACATTTTTGGGACAACTGATAAAATCTTGAGTAATATCCTGGGATTAGATAATAATAGACACACTCATACAGAATATAAGATGTATATATAGGATATAATGAAAATATCATAAATGCGATGCTATGATGTGAATTTCCTGATTTTGAAGTGGATAATGGTTATGTGTAAGAGAAGTCCTTCTTTTTAGGAACTACGCACTGAAGTGTTTATGGATGAAGAGGCATCATGTCTGCAACTTAACTCTAAAATAGTTCAAAGGTAAACTTCACGCAGCAGTAGGGAGGGAGAAAGAGTTAGGGAGGGAGGGAGGAAGAAGGGAGGAGAAAAATAAGACAAATGTAGTAAATTAGCGACACTGGGAAATTTGAGTGAAGAGTTTTCAAAAGAATTCTCCGTGGGAGGTCGGTTGAGTTCGAGGCTGCAGCAAAGGTATTCACGTCACTGCACTCCAGCCGGGGTGACAAAACAAGATTCTGTCTCAAAAACAGAAAATAATTCTCCATATTACAGGTTGAGTATCCCTTATCCAAAATGCTTGGGATCACAGGGTTTCAGATTCTGGAGTTTTCTGAATTTCTGAAGGTGTGTGTTACATGTACTGGTTCAGCATTACTAATCCAAAAATCTGAAATCCTCCAATGAGCATTTCCTTTGAGTGTCATGTTGGCGCTCAAAAAATTTCAGATCTCGAAGCATTCCGGTTTCAGACTTTCAGATTAAGGATACACTCAACCTGTAATGAAACTTTTCTACATACAAAGAACTATGTCAA